ATAAAATAAGGGACCGTGGACAAGCATACTCATTTGGAAAATGGTGTGCTGGGGAAATGTCACAGAAAACATTCAAGAAATATTAAAGTGAATAAAATTTTAAGATATAAATATTTCCCATTTTTGATTGAGCTCATTTAATATCTGAATTTCAATTTATAAACAAAATGTAGAAAACTCAAGATAATTGTCCTTTATAAAATATAAACTCAAACACAACATCAAATTTGTAAAACTATCAGGAAACCTGAGGAGTGGCAGCACTGTGCGAAATGTTTTCAGTAATGAATCAGGAACAAAGTCCTCAGGTGGAATGGGCAGGATTGAGTGCCTGGGGAGCAAGCTAGATGGCGCGCTTCTGCTCCTGTGCCTTACGTCTGTAAATGATCACATATAGAAATAAATAGACAAAATGTGTTTCAATTAAAAGGACCCACTCACTGGTCTACGGCCCGAGAGCTTGAGCAATCCATGTTCCTAAGACAAAGAGGACACAAGAAAACCTTGGATGAGGTCCTGTTACTTGGAAAACAACTAAAACAACTGAGTCAGCCAAGAAGTTGCCCTTGGCCCTCCCCTTGTTTAAACTCTTGCAAGAGACATACATTCCCAAACCCAAGGCCTCACTATTGAAAGCCATAACAACAGGATGTCCCAGGTCACAATGCCTCGATTTCTTAAAAATGTTCCCGGAACAGGACAACCACAAGGTTAGACCCCCCAGCTACCCCCGGACTTACTCCATTTGGTCATCCAGTATTGTAACCCACCAATTATTGTAAAGGGCAACCTACACTAACCAATGCGATTTGCTTCTGTAACTTGCTTGCTCCCCCCCCCCCCATTTTGTGGTTTTTGCCTTTAAAAAACTATGCTTGTTACACGGAAGGCGCGCTCTGCTCCTGTGTGTGCAGACCGCCCTACGTATACGTAGATAATAAAACTTTCCCTTTGTGATTTGCATGAGAGACCGACTCTTGGGGTCTTCCTTCGTGGCGACTCGACCCTTACATGTCCAAAGACCCACAAGCACGCCTCCCGTTCAGGAGCCTTTCAGAGAGCAAGCCTTGAGGACTCCCAATTCTCCTTCTATGCAATTAGGGTCCTCCTACCAAAATAAATCATTTAGAAATCATGAAAGTCTTCAACACTCCATGTATGCTGTTGAAAATATGTATTGCTAACTTTCCAGGTGTCAAAACTGTAATTACAAAAATAAGAAAGTACAAGGTGAGAGATACAGGGGTGGATTAATTCTTCATGACATGAATAAAGTAAAACAGACGCAGAATGTTAAATGTCACATAGTTCCTCTGATTTGAGAAACCCCCAAAATGAAAAATGTAGTGAACAGGACAAAAGAGACACAATAAGAAAAGGGAGGCTGGCTTGTGGGGACGGGGAGGTTTCAGGTGGGGCAGACAGGGTGGGAGGGAAGCAGAGGGAATGAGGGCAAGGTGCGCGGTCCCCACAGCAGTGCCCAAGAAGGCCCGGGTGCTGTGTGTGACAGACGCTCTACAGGCCTGAAGGCTGGCGTGCTCAGGCCTCAGAGGAAATGGTGACATCTCCCCACGCTGGGGGTGCTGGGGACCCAGCCCAGGACCTCCACATCAGGGCGGGCGCTGCCTCCCAGAACTTGAGGAACCAAGCTGAGGCATGGCGGGGGACCATGTCAGCTCCCACAGAAAAGATGGTGCCTTGTCAGTGCTACTTAACTGTAAAATTCAATGAGTTGTCGCTGGAACAATCCCAGTGAGTATCAGTCGGAGAAAGTAGCAATGACTGAGCACATGTTAATGGAACAAAAAAATGAGGACTTGCTGGAGGGTGTGGCTAGAAATGTGGATGGAAAACCCTGACAGAATTCAGGGGCCTCTGGGAGGACGGACAGGTAGAGGGGAAAGGAAAAGAAGCATAGAGAAAAGTAAAGCACTACTGAGGTGTCACAGAATTGTTTCCAAAGAGGTGAAAGGTGCAGTCTCTCAAGCCTATGCCAAAAGAGGGGGCTGGAGCAACACAAAGGAACGTTTTTTTTGTTTTGTTTTTTTTTTTTTTTTTTTTTTTTTTTTTCGCGGAACCGGATATTGAACTCAGATCCTTGCGTTTGCCAGTCAAGCGTTTATTCTACTGAGCCATCTCCCCGGCCACAAAAGGAACATTTTTAAATGTGTTAAATTTTCCGAAATTGTTCAGGAAGAAATAAAAATGTTCAAATTGTTTACAATACAGAAGAAACTGAATGTGACCCTGGAATATTTCTACCAATAAACTATTCAGCACACATAAGTACAAAGGTGAATTACAGCCAAACAGAAAATAATATATCCAATGCATGCCCTGCCCTGCACGCACCAAGTCCTCTCGGAAGCGCCGTTTCCCTGTCTGCGCTGGAGAAGGAACACCCAGCCTATCCGGAGGAGGGCAGGCCGGCGGCCGGAGCGGAGGGAGACAGCAGGGTCAGAGCCAGGGAGGGCGACCTTCCCTGGACACCAGACGCCACCCTGAAGACGCGCGACCTCGGCCACCTGGAGTCTAACACAGCCGGTGTAAGTGCTAAGACTGTCTTCGGCACGCTTTTCTTTCAAAGAGAGCTGACACCACTTCACGCAGAAGCATTCATGCCTCGTCCCTCCAGGCTGACAAGCGGCGGAGCTGCTCACTGTTCAGTAAGTGACCCTGGAGGTGGGGAAGGGTGGTGAGCAGCCGCCGGACACCGCCGGACCGACTGCCTCTCGGTCAGCGCGTGGTCTGCTCTTGGTCCTGCTTCAAAAAAGCTTCTGAGGCGCTCCAAGGACAGAGCTCCAATGCCACGTCTCGGCCTCAGGGCGCTTAACTTAGTGGACTGTGATAGGACCCTCCTTTGATAACAAAGTTAGGGATCACGACATTATGAAGTAAGAGGGTAACAAACATGCAGTGAATGGAAGCAAATCTGTAAGTGCAGGAGAAGCAGGGCCCTGGGAGAGCTGGAGGAGTGGACGCCGGGCGTGGCGGGTGCTGCGGCGCAGGGCAGCCCAGTGGGTGGACACGAAACACGAATGCCCTGTGCAGGCGGCGCGGGCCAGGCACGCCCTGCGCAGGCAGACCACTTGTAGGAGAGATGCGGGTGAATGCATTCTGATTGTATTTGTGTTTCCATTCCTCTTAGATGTTTCAACTAATGGAAGAAATTGAACAGTATTTTTAAAATAAAATCAGATAAGAATGGAAGAACTCCAGCAAAGGGAACACAGTTACTTCTTTGAGAGTACTACTGAATTGATGTAGAACACAGAATTGTGTACATAGAAAACCTGAAACAGCCTGTAAACTGTTACCAGAATTTTTGATTGAATTAAAAGTGTGAGAGGTGGAACAGTATGTAGAGGTCACTTGAATGTCTCTTTGTTGTCAATGAATAATGAGAAATTGAAATTATACAACAAAACCATTTTACAAGGAAATGAAAACATGCAATACTTGGGGATGAATTTTTTTAATGTGAAAGTCTCCTATAGTAAAATCTATAAAATATGTTTGTGTAAACTTCTGACATTGCATACCCTTAGAAAGGTTTGTACACAAAACAGAGCCCTTAACAACTGCATTTGCAATGGCCTCACAATGAAAACGACGCAAATATTTATCAATGTGTGAATGGGATGTGGTATAGTTATGCAATATAGTCACACAATGAGATACTACCCAGATAAGAAAGAGAATAATGTACCGATATGTGCTCTGAATTGGTGGATGAATCTCAAAATAATTATGCTAAAGGAAAGAGCCTAAATCCTTCTTTTTTCCGAAGATATATTATGCTGCATTCAACCTATGTGAGACCCGAGGAAGTGTCAGCTAATCTATGACAGAAAGCGCTTCATGATCGTCTGGAACAGGAAGCTGTCTCAGAGGAAACGCGAAGGAAGTACTGAAAGGAGTCCCAAGAAGTGCCCGTGGTGATTACGCTTGTAACCTCCACTGTGGGGTGATTAGAGAGAACTTGGATTTTAAAACAAACATTGACTATTGTACCCAGTGTATAAATTTATTGCATGTCAAGTATACCTTCACAAGTTGACTACATTATTTATGAATACAATTTATTAAAAATTTAAAACATAAAATACTAATTACTAGTGTATA